CAACGATACAACTATATATATATATATATATATATTCAATGAACGAAAATGTGTTTGTTGTGAACACTCGCCATCCTCGGATATATATATATATATCTGTAGTCAACATGAACCTGTCTGCCACGTGTGTGCTCTAGTATTATAAGCGTACCATACAAATATATGCAATCGACATGCATCTGCCTTTCAGTTGTGATCTATGTACCATATATATATATATTATTGTATTGCGTAGCTATACATTTTTGAACGACGCCGTGGCGTGTGCAGCGACCGAGGGCCTGCTCGAAGTATGGGCGCAGTGCGCGTTTGAGTTCCGCAACGCCGCGTGGAGCCGCTTCAATGCGGTGGTGTGTCGGCTGAGAGAGTTTCACGTCGTTCCCCGCAGTCTGCTGCGCCATCGGTACGATATCTCAATAGTACAACCAACAATTACAAATAGATTTTGTATTATACGAATTTACCCACAGGTTGTGATGCATTCTCAGTTTAGAATAAACTCACAACCATATTGTGCTTTCAAGCTGTAAATTTGGTATTATATTTTCGGTCGTTTTACTACTTGAACTAACTATACTCACTGTGTGAATCCATCCTGTCCGATACAATGTTGAACTGTTTGTGAACAGCTTGGCACATATAATGCACTGAATACACCCACTTGCAATTTGATTGGTTAAAAGTTTTTTGATTCGATAATGTGATTGGCTACTTTGTCGATTTTGCTTGGTCGATTCAATTGGCAGCCCCAGCTCCATTTTGAAAAATCGATTACATAATTGTATATATCTATAGAATATACATTGAATATTTCATATATCTATAGAATATACATTGAGTATTTCATATATATATATAGAATATACATGGAATATTTCGGTTTTATGGTTTTTTAAAGTGTAATTTATATGTGTAGCCCAACGTATCGCAGTGCAGATGAAACCAAGGCATTTGTGTTGACGGTGCGGTCGCTGGCCCGTGCAAAGCGGCACAGTTCTAAAAAGTCTGGCGGCGGAGGCGGGTACTTGGACAGTTTCATGTCGCGCTTGTTCTTCTTCTCCGACGAACCCCTCGACCAACATGCGGCGTCCGTTGCCGACAACTTTGAGCTCCGTGTGGATGACCTCCTATTGGATGAAGACGATGACGTGGCATCTGCCCAAGTCAACAATACCACCACCACCTCATCACTGGTACATAGGACCAACCTGCTGATGTCATCACAACGACTGGATATATATATATATATATATATTATTCAAACGAGCACAAACCAGTGCATATATATATATATATACTAGTATATTGATATGGAGTGTCATGGAGGGAAAGTGTATCCGTCGATACATAGATATATATATGTATGTATGAACTTTGCTGTGTTGATATATATACATATATATGGTTGTATATATATATATATATGTTTATGAACCCTGGTGGTATGGCGTTGATGAGAACCGTTTGGCTTTTGTTTGTGCATTAGACATCTACGAATCTATATCTATATTGCGTTATCTGGAAAACCCAATCATCGTTTGTCACGAATATATATATATAT